ACAGCAGTTTTCGGTATGTTAAATTCTATAGAGATTTGCCGACTACTTATATGTGGATTCTGTTGAATTAAAGCAAGAACATTGATTGAATTATCTTCGGTCATACCTCTACTACATCGTTTAAAACAAGGACGATGAAAACTACCAGTTTCTCTTAATCTTCTTACCTTTCTTTCAAATACTTCTTTGTCATAATGTCTCCTATCAGGATATCTTACAGAATATATACGTGAGGCAATAGCGGCATTTTGGTGACATTTGAAATAAACTCCAATCATATTATACAATTCTGTATTTGATATACTCATCACGGATTATTAGTACTCATAATTAATTACTAATATTACCAATATTAATATCTATTGAAAAAAGTGCAATCTTCAATTCGGATTATAATATAACACTTTCGAAAAAACTATTTTAAATCATATAAAATAACAATGGTCAAAATAGGTATCAACATTAAGATTCTTTTGCTATAAATAAATTTGAAAGTACCTACTGACTTATTTTTTAATTCAATTTATAATAAAGGGTAAGTCAATACTATACTTACTTATGTTTATGCGTTTTTATTCATATCTCGAGTTCGGCAAAGGCTATTAACATGCGGTTTGCACCATTTTGTTACGAATTTAATCCAGTTCCATTATAGTTTACAATAAATAGGTGTTTCCATTAAACATTTTAAAGAAAAACGAATTTTAATTTTTTCTATTCGAAAGTACCCTCTACCTATGACAAAACTAAATACAATTATTTTATAGTAAATCTAAATTAGTTCATACACACTCTTTCTAATGACACTAATTTCGTTAAAATCGGTTAATCCAATCCAAAGTTATAGGTATTTATCCACAAATACTTCCCCACTCTCCCCCACCCTTTATTTGAAAAAAATATAAAAAAGTACTTGAACAACTTTGTGAAGAATTAAGGCCTATTTCTAGTTAATTTATTTAACACTTGGTATAATTGGGCAGATTTCTAAAAAAACTGATTTTCAAAGTTTTCTTCACAGGTTACGCTCCCTAGCGGTTAACCCAGAAACTTGAAAGTTATTTCCAGAGATTTCTCTTGGCCACTTTTACTTACTAAGAAATTTTTTCTCCTAAAGTTATAACATGAATAGTTTCTGATATATAGCCGAGAGATCGGCTTATTGGACCACCCAGTACATTATGACTTACACATATTTATTTAACTGTAATAAAAAATTTAACTTATTTAATACCTATGTTTGTTTTATTGTTTTACAGATTAGTTGCTTTTCTCATCCATACATTTTTTTCGTTACCCCGCTTTTCCATACCGTTACTTTTCTACATTTTCTGGCCATTTCCTGTCTCAATGTTTTTTTTACCCATGACATCACCTAACAAGCTCCAACCCCACTGACCCGACCACGACCCGACCCACTGACGTCACCCCAACCATTTCCTGTCTTAAGCTTCAATTCCGCTGACGTCAACCAAACCACCGCAAAAGTGGACTAAGAGAAAGATCTTTTTTACGTTTCCTGCACAAAAAAATTATAAAGCTTTTCAAAAATGAAAATAACAAATTTTGATGTTATGACCTCGGGTTCATTATATGCTGTGTATAGTTCAAAGTTATATCTTATGCGCCATATGTCATTTTCCTTTACCCCCTTATATATGTGTCCAAGGATTTTTCGTTCAAACGTACCTAATAGGTTTTTCATCGCTTTTTGACAGTGTCCATGTCTCTAATCCGTATACAAGGACCGGTTTTATCAGGGTCTTGTATACTTTGCATTTGGTTTTTCTTGTGATGTTGTTATATCTTAGATGTTCAATTAGTCCATTATATGTTTTATTAGCGATATGTATTCTTCTCTTAACGTCTTCACTGATATTGTTATCTGCGGTAACTAGTGAACCTAGATATGTAAAATTTTTCACGCATTCGATGTTATAGTCTCCTATTGTCAGATTCTGTAGGTTTCTTTGGCCTGTCGATTTACTGGGCTTCATGTATTTGGTTTTTATTTCGTTAATGTTCAGGCCACTGTTTTGTGTCGCTCTTTCTATCGCATTAAATGCTTCTATCATCTCTCTTTCGCTTCTAGCTATGATATCAACATCATCTGCAAATGCCAATATTTATACACTTTTTGTTATTATTGTTCCTCTGGTGTTGACTTTTGACTCTCTAATTATTTTCTCTAATGTGATGTTGAATAGAATACAGGATAGGGCATTTTCCTGCCGTAGGCCCGTTTTCACATGGATTCTGTTAATGCGTTTTGAATTCGAATTTTGCTTTGAAAATCAATGAAAATATTATGTTTTTCTATATTAAATTCACTGGTCTTTTCCAATATTTGCTTCAAGACGAAGATCTGATCTATTGTGGACTTCGGTCTGCGGAAACCGCATTAATATCCTCCAACTATTTGTTCCACATATGGTCTCAATTGGTTATACACAATATTTGACAGTATTTTATATGCCAGAGTTAGCAGTGTTATTGCCTGGTAGTTTTTACATTGAAGCTGATCTCCATTTTTATGTAGTGGGATAATTACTCAAGTCTTCCAGCCTTGTGGCAGTTGTTTATTATTCCATATGTTTACTATTAGTTCGTGTATCGCATTCAATAGGGAGTCTTCACCTTCGTTTATTAATTCTGTGCTAATATTGTCTAATCCAGGTGACTTGTTGTTTTCAGTCTGGTAACTGCTTCTTGCATTTCAGCTACCAAAGGGGGGTTGTTTCTCTGGTATCTGTTTGATCTAGTATAATTTCATCATATAGTGGATCTTCGTTTTTTTCAAACTTTCCTTTGAAGAATTCTGTCCATATTTGTAGTATTTAACTCTTGTTGAGTTACTATATCTCCTTCTTTGTCTCTGCACAGCATTGTTCTTGGTTTAAATTATTTTCTGCTTTTGTTAAGTTTTTGGTGGAACTTTCTGGTTTCTGATGTTTTTTTAGTTCTTCCATTTCTTGAAGTTCTTTTTCTATGTGTTCTCTTTTCTTTCTGTGATGTATTTTCTTCTCTTCACTCCTTAGCATTCTATATTCCTCCTCTGCCTTTCGTGTTCTATGTTGTTGTTGTAGTCGTTGATACGCATTATTTTTCCTCTCTGTTATGTTACGGCACTCTTCATTGAACTACTGTCCTTCAGTTGATTTGAGCTTTTTTGCAGACCCAGGGTCTCTTTGGCCGCTTCTTGTATGATGTTTTTACACGCTTCCCATTCTCTGTTTATATTCTCGTGTTTTTGTCTGTTTTCTAGCCTTCCTTTTATATATTCTTTGTATTTTACCTTTTTGCTGTTGTCTGCTAAGTTTTTTATTTCATATTTTTCAATTTTGGATCCCTTTTCTTTTTTAATGATTGAGATTCTGGCTCTTATTCTACTTTCCACTAGGTAGTGATCCGAGTCTGCATTTGCCCCTCGTCTGCTGCATACAATTATTACGTCTGAATGATCTCTAGAGTCAATAATAACATGATCGATCATGTTTACTGTAACTCCATCTGGAGATCTCCACGTTCCCTATGAATATTTTTTCTCTGTAAGCATGTGCTGGCAATGACCATGTTAAGGGAAGTTGCTAGATTTATTAGTCTGATGCCATTGTCATTGGATACCTCATGAAGACTGTGCTTACCTATAGTTGGTAGGTATTGTTGCTCTTTTCCTATTTTTGCGCTGAGATCACCATAAATAATTTTGATGTCATTCTTTGGGCATGAATGGTATGCAGCTACTAGTTCTTCATAGAACTTTTCTTTGACATTGTCTTCCTTTTCCTCTGTAGGGGCATGCACATTTAAGATGCTTTAATTAAAAAATGTTCCTGTTAGTCGCAGAATGCACATTCTAGAGTTTATAGCACGAAAGTCTCTTACGAGTTTTATTATATTTTATTATATAAACTCTTTTTATTGCACTTTAATACAATAGTCGAACTGATAATTGCAAAAATCCAACATTGTTTTTAAGTATGTAAAATTATACATATATGAAATTATTAAAATATAAATAAATATCATTTGATAGTAAATTTAATGTTTCATGCTGTTTTTAATTTAAACGTGTTTAGAGTAAATATATGTCATTTATTAATCATTGTCAAGAACCGCTATGCTATGATGCTACCGGTGACGACTCTAAAAAATTACAACGCCAGCATAGAAGCTTCACTTCAGAAATGTATTAATAAAAATGTCCAAAGCCCCTCCTAAACAAGCTACTTATAACTGCAATTAAAATAATTTATTCAAGCCAAACTATTGGGTACATTTCATTAAATAAATATAGAGAATAATATATGCACTTAGAAGTTAACTGTTTTGACTTTATTTTAGGAAGCATTTTTCAATAGGACAAAAATGAGTTCCAGAATTTTCCAGAGTTTTTTTTTGTGTTTTTGGACACTCTCTATAGTTGTATGATTACAAATCATGGCATTTATCTTCAGATAAAAGATTCAGCCTATTAAATGTCTTTGAAGTGTTCATCAACACAAATCAATAAAGAAATGATGATGATAAAAGGACAAGTTAAGACAAGTCAGTATGCAACTTTATACATGGCAAGCTCTTGCAACTAAATTCTTAGAATATAGAGGATGTAATAAAATGTAATATTTACCACATGAATAATTTCTTTGTGAAAAGTATGCAGCTAATGCTGTATATTATTGTCATCTAATTGCTGAAGTGAATTATCTACTTACAAAAAATTAAAACATCAAAAATGTGAATAAACACTGGAAAATACTTTAATATCCTTCCTACAGTTTTGACTTTTCCTTGTTTGGGACTATCACAGATCTATATATGTTCACAGTAAATATTACGCTATAATTTGGACCTTAATCAAAGTATGGCAGTGCACTTGCTAAATATTAGTTAATAATGAATCATTTTGATTATTTGATGAAAGAATTATTAAAATTGAGCCGTACTGATCAATACTATCTTTACATATCAAGTACAGGTTTAATCTTATACCACTTTACCTATAGATAAATTCATGGGAAGTTTTTAACTGCTTGTATCCAGAAGTTTCAAACACTTTCCATATTGGAGGACCAATAAGTGTCTTGTAAAGTCCATCTAAAAACTCCTTGCTAGCATGGATTATATCTTCAGCTTGTTTATTCTGTCCAGATATACAATGGAATCTGTATCCAGGGCAAACAACTGAAATGGCTGAAAAGTAAACATCTTATGTTTACAACTAAACATCTCTTAGGTAGTTACAAAGAATATAGATGCATATACATCTATATTCTTTGATAGTTACTTATATAAAATAAAAAAAACAATCTTCACATACCTTCAATAGCAAATTTCAACAAGTGCTCAAGGATATTATATACAACTTTATCTTGATCCATCTCTTTTCTAATATATGTAACAAACTTTTCAGCAATATCTTGTTGCTCCTTTTTAAAAGAATCAATCAAGTTATTCTTTAGTAAAGGATTAACGCCACTTCTAAATTTATACCATTCTTCACCATTACCAGGAACAACTCCTACACTATTAAAACGTTTCTTGCGATAATGATGTAGTGCTAGAAAAGGAGGTCTACCAGGTCTAATACCTTCATTTCTGAACATAGTTTCAGCATCATCAGCATTTGTAGTAATCACAAGATTTGTACCACCTAAATTTAAACGAAAAATTGGACCTAATTGTTTTTTAATATCTTCAACAGCCTCAGTCAATCTTTCTGACTTATACTTGCCTTAAATAAAAAGGTTTACTACATAATGTATAGAATATCAAGGTATACATGGAGTCATGTTTCAAATTAATTAATAATAAAATGAATATTACCTCCGGGAAGAAATAAATAAGTATGCTGAAGTATTGGTAAAGTTCTTAAGGTAGGTATTTCCTTAAAAGATTTAATGGACTTCATATTTTCACAATATAAACTACCACTATTTAAGTTTACTAACGTAAGTTTGTCAGCAAAATGACCAATGCTTGTGTTTTTATGTCTGTAATTTGTAAAACCAAATCAAAATATTTATTTATCATAAATTTTAAATTCAAAATCAAATATGTTGATTATCTTGTGTATCTCTCTCTATCATACGATAGACATAAATGACAACTCTGACAACTGACAAGTCATATCTAATGTTTTGGTTTAATTTGTGAAGTTGGCCACAGTTTGAAATATTCATTGGTGGGAACATGAACTTTATTGGGGGGTTATTCCCATATTTTGCATAATCGCTTTCATAAGATGCACCAGAATAAGGTTCAAGAGGTCGCCCAAGTGAGAAGGAATTATTTCGGGTAAGCAACAATTTTTTTAGGTTTTTTGGATCCATCTGAACCGAAAACGTCTTTTGTAATTTTGTTGTAAGTTGATAGTTTTTAAAAATGTAAAGAAGAAAAATGATGATTTTTAAGGCACAAAACACAAGTAAAAACTAGTCATTTTCAATTCAAAATTTGTGACAGGACTTATGTTTTTGCTAACTCTTATTTCTCTCTTAGGACATGCAAAGTCCGCGACTAGGGTTGCCTCTCTGCTAGTTTGTTCTATATTTTTATTTAAGAATTCAGAAAAGTAACCCATTTCTGACTTCTGGGCAATTCCCTTTTGTCTCGTTTAAGGTTTATTTCCACTAGTTGGGACGAAATAATCAAATATTGTCAAGTGAGTTCGCCAGATCCTTGGGTCATGGCTTAGACAACTGTTTCCCATGTATTAGTTGGGCACAATGGTGTTAGACTTCGGAATTCGTGAGCGTAGTACTCACAGAACATGACTGTCTGGTGATTTGTCGATTTAGCAGGTGTAGATATGTGTGTAAAATATTCAATCATCAAATCTATAGCCAATGACATATACACAGTCCTATATCCGCAGGTCTTTTTTTGATTATACCTTATTCAAAGCTGTCCTATAACCCATAGTAGGATCCCTTTTAGTTAGTGGAATGTGTGCCGTCGAGGATGAGAATTTTTCCACATAGTCTCTCCTGCGTTAAGGGAAGGCAAATTCAGATCCACAGTCTCAGACTGGCAGGATGTTACGACTAAGTTGTACTGTTCGACTAAGAATGGTGGCTGTGACTAAATTAAGTTATGCACTACCGACGATTTAGAAAGCAAAAATATACTTTCAGAACTAACAGTAGTAATAAACTAATCAAAACAACTCGTGGGTTCTTTTTAAACGCTTAGAGTGAAATGGAACACTTTCCAAATTTTTAAAATACCATGTAGTTACAAGACAGTAGTCAGTGGATACAATGTTAATTATAATTATTCAAAATATACTAATTTAAAGGGACAACATCAGTAGATATCTGTTTAGAGAATGTTTTGAAAATTTAAGTTCAGATTTACATCCCACGTTAAAAAGATGCGTTTTATGGTAGGAAAAGATTAACAAGCATTGCCAATCGAATCCTAAGATTCAGATTTGGTCAAGAAATTAAAAATACAAACAAAAAAAGATGGTACAATAGGGGGTACAGTAAACTAGCGCGAAGCTTCATATTATGTTATCTGTATCTTTAAAATTTTAATAATAAAATTTGAATAGACATCATTTCCGTGTCCATCCAGCTTGCGTGGAGGAGGAGTTCTGAATTAAGTAAGGACTCTTCTGTACTTCGCGGAAGACGGACGGGCGGGGGAGTCCTCAATCCCGACACGGCGCATCCCACTGGCTGATAGGGAAATGCCCTACAGATATGTACGATTGGTGTGAATAAGGTTTTACCAAATAAGCACCCGTGGACCAACTGAGGACATGGCATAGCGCAGCAGCTATGACATTACTTCATTAAGGCTATAGTGGAATGATTTCTACTGTTGGCTTAGTGATAGATACTCACGGGCGGATATCACATAATGATTTAACCGGCCGTGATACTGCGATCAGGTAGGCAAGGGGAAACCACCTGATTAAATTCCCGTGACTACACAACCATGAATATAACTAATCAGTTAGATATGCGTAGCGATTCGATTAGCGATCGGCGCTCAGTTGGTTCCGGGCCAACTAGTGTCAAATGGACTACCGGGCATGTGTTTGTGAGCAACCAAACAATACATGCGAAATTGGCGCCTGGAAGAAAATAAGATTTTCAGTTAAGAAAAGCAATGGGAATAGCAACCTGGAATGTTCGAGGATTATTGCAACCAGGCAAACTGCATATACTACAAAGAGAAGTCGAAAGAGAGGATATAGAAATTAGCGGACTTTCGGAGACTCATTGGAAATGACAAGGACACTTCCGAACGACAGATCATGTTGTATACATATCGGGAGCAAATAACACAGGAAGAAATGGTGTTGCACTTATGGTGACTAAAAAATTTTCACAATACGTGTATGATTACCAACCGATAAATGATAGACTTATAAAAATAACCTTACTAGCATCACCAAACAAAATACACAGTCGTCAGGTCTACATGCCAACCTCAGATGCGTTAGACAATGAAGTGGAAGACGTATACTCCGTTATTGAAGACACAATAAGAAATATTTCATCTAAAGAACCACTCATAATCATGGTAGATTTTAACGCTAAGGTAGGAGAAAGAAGAAATGATAACATCCAAAATGTAGGAAACTATGGGTTAGGTGTTAGAAACAGCCGAGGCGAATGTTTAATAGATTTTGCAACCGAAAACAGTTTGGCCATTGTAAACACAATGTTCAAACATCATGCTCGTCGTTTATCGACGTGGACCAGCCCAAATGGAGAATAAAAGAACCAAATCGACTACATATTGATTAGAAACAGATAGAAGACATGTTTTACAAACGTAAAAATTAGACTTAGAGCAGAATGTGGATCCGATCATAAATTGTTAAGGGCTTGCTTCAAGATGAAGCTAAAAAGAACAATGCCGCAACAAAATCAAAACAGGCTGGAGATTTCAAATCCGAAAACATTTAGAGATGCATTAAAGGAAACTAGTATGTTGAATACACAAGACTACCGGGAAGAAATGTGGAAAGGTTTCAGAAATGCCATAGAAACCTCTGTAGAAAGAACCAGAACCGAAAAAAATCTCATATATCAAAACGACAGCAACAAAAACGAATTAGCTAGGTTAAATAGAGAAATTAAAAGAGCATGTAGGGATGACAAAAATAAACATATAAATGAAGAATGCGAAGAACTAGACAGACATGCAAACCGGTATGAATTCCAACAAAGTTCGATATCTAGCCAGGGAATTTAAACCAATTACACAAACAATAATGGATCAAAACCAACATATTATAAATGACGAGAAAGGGATTGCGGAGGTATGGAGAAAATATTGTCAAAGTCTATATGCAGATGATCCCCAGAATGCAAATCACGATGAGTTCACTGCAGAGAGAGAACCAAACATTCTAAAGTCAGAGGTAGAAAAAGCAATCCATAAGTTGAAAAATAGAAAATATCCTGGCGCAGACAAGATCACCGCAGAAGTTTTAAAAGAGACTGGAGATGTTGAAGTAAATGTTATGCATATGATCTGCAAAAAGATTTGGGAAACCGGAGAGTGGCCCAATGACTGGACAACATCCCTACTTTCCCCCTACTTTCATCCCTATATTCAAAAAAGGAACTCCGTTAGATTGCAGCAACTACAGAACAGTAACCCTAATATCCCATGCAAGCAAGGTTCTACTTAATATAATACATGAAAGATTAAAAGCTTTTCTATTGCCTCAGTTATCAGAAGAACAAGCGGGATTTGTCCCAGGAAAAGGCACAAGAGAACACATCCTTAATGTCAGAGAACTAATCGAAAAAACTCGTGAATTCAATACTCCTATGCGTATGTGCTTTGTGGATTACACAAAGGCCTTCGATAAAGTCAAATGACAGCAGCTATGGTCCATACTAGCGGAGATGGGAACACCCCACCACTTAATTCAACTAATTAGAAGTCCATATGAAAATAATAAGTGCACAGTAAAAATAAACAAGACCCATTCCGATTATTTCAGAACAGAGGCAGGTGTCAGGCAGGGATGCATAATCTCGCCAACTCTCTTTAATATCTACACCGAACACATTATGCGAAAGGTACTAGACGGATGGAAGGGTGGAATATCAGTAGGAGATTACAAAATCAATAACTTGAGATATGCTGATGACACTTTAATAATCGCGGCAAATCAGGAAGAAATGGAAGACATAATGAGATGTTTATAAGAAAAAAGCAAAACATATGGACTAAAGCTAAATACGAGTAAGACAAAGATGATGATAGTAGACAGAACTCGGAATAATCATCAACACATTAAAGAAATTGGGGGCTTTGAAGTAATAAACACTTTTATATACCTGGGGTCCCTAATAACAAATGACGTAGGGTGTGACAGAGAAATACGTAGAAGTTTGACTATTGCTAGAACAGCCATGATGAAACTGATAGCAATTTGAAAAAATTCTAGCATAACAATACACACAAAACTAAGGTTGGTAAGGGCGCTCATTTTTCCCATGGCCACATATGTATCCGAAACGTGGACCTTAAAGAAAGCGGATAAAAATAAACTGGACGCTTTTGAAATGTTGGTATACCGCCGCATGTTGAGAATATCCTGGATTGATCATCGCACTAACGTATCGATACTAGAACAACTTAAAGTAAAGGATAGATTGCTTAAACTAATACAACTGAGATATTTGCAGTATTTTGGACACGTTGCTAGAAGAACAGGCACGATGGAAAAACTGATAGTCGAGGGTAGAGTTGAAGGAAAAAGACCTAGGGGAAGATCTCCAAGCCGTTGGGTAGATAAAAAAAAAACACTCATTAACCAAGGGTTACATGAAGCCGAACAACTAGCCCAGGACAGCAAAGGATGGAGGGAAATCCTAAAAAAACTGTGAAGGCCTGATGGTGTCAATACATCCCAAAAGGGATTAGGACTGAGGAGGAGGAGGAGATATCATTTGATAGTAAATTTAATTATTATATAAACAAAATAATATGTTTAAAAATAATAATTGTATTTATATGAAATTATTTTAGAATGAGAAGTATCAAAAAAATTTTAACAGATGATCCAATATTTTTATCAGTTGTATGAGATTTATGACTTGTAAATTTTGGCAATCGTTACGAATTGAATCTTTTATTGACAGATATTTTTTTAATTTTTTACTTCTAATTTAAAGTCTGAATTTTGGTAAATATTTTTTATGCAGTTTTTAATTTAAACCTGCTAGGAATAAATATATGATAACTAGAAATAAATTAATCGAGAGTAGTGAATCGATTTGATGAACCGCTATTTCGTGACGCCTTTTCGTGGCTCCAGTTCTGTGACGCTTGACTCAGCATTTTACTATAGAGAAAAGTTAATACAACGCTAGTAGGTATAATTCGCTTCAAAAATTCACTGAAAAAGCACTTGCAACACAGCGACTTACATTATGTGGCTTTATTGTTGGAACCAAATTTTAAGACAAATTTGTCTCCACAAATTCCACATATACATTATCTTCTACAATGATCTTGACTATTTTAAGGATGCATCAGGGGAATAGGATATCCATAAGATTTACGACAGGAGAATAAACCAAATGTGGATGTTTTAGATTTTTGGAAAAATTGCAGTGATGTACCTCTATTATAGAAAACAAATTAGTTAGTCAAATTTTAAATGTAGGTACTGGCTAGGTCTTCTACTTCAGAAAGGTTGTTTCCTTGTACGGGTCGGATTGTGGAAGAACGACGTACCAAGTTACTACTCAATAATTTGGACAAATTACTATTTTTGAGTACATCGTTACTAAATATATCGTTAAAGCATTTAAGCGTATAGATCACAACAAACTATTCTTCTTATCAGCTTTATTTTTTGAATTAAAATTGTGGGCGTACGTCCATGGTTGATGACAGATAGTACAATGTCATTTGGAATACTTCCAGTTGAGAGACCGAACTCACGTCGAATGAAGCCGATTTGGATGACAGGGAAACAGAAACAACTAAACGAGAAAAGTGATTATTTTTACTTATGTTGAGTGGTTCAACTTCCATTTACTTTGATCATAAATTTTTATATATATACAGAAGATACGTTAGCAGTGTTAATATCTTCTAGATTTTAATACTCTTCAATATTTAACACAATGGGAGACAGTGGTAACGAGGGAGATGGAGAAAAACAACCACTTCTTGCAAGCGAAAATACCACCTACAACGGGGATGTCTCTGGTAAGTTGACATTTTACCCAGAAATCCATAAAATTGCATATATGAATCATAGCGGTGGCACTTTATTAGCTTTTTAATAATTTCTTATTGAGGTCTTTGTCCTACTCATAGGCGTAGTCGTATAATAAACACTGATATGATTGTTTGATAATGTTAAGGTTAGCAAGATTTGTTTATTTGAAGATAGTAATCGCTTTGTCATTAAAGTTTATTGTTAATAATCACTAATTTTTTTTGTTGTAGTTGTAAACCTGCAAATTTTAGAATTGGATCCTTAAATTCATTAATATGTACTAATTAATATCAGCTATTATTTGTGCTCATTGTTTTATATATCAGCTGTTAGGCGTTATGGGTGTATTATTAGAAGCCATATGTAAATTTGAATTTTCATTAACCAATTTTTTTTAAATCCTCGGGTTAAACTTTGTTTTTACTCTACACATAATGTTTTAAAAATCCATTACTTACAAGCATATTTATAGTTCAAAGTTGGAACAGACCTTGATTTCTTATAAAACACGAAAACAAAAATATGCTCCAGCAATTCAATAATATAAATAAAATCTTATCTGCTTGTGTGTCATTTGTTTTAAGCATATGAATGAGTTAATTTGTTTCAAGATAATTCTGTTTTCCTAAATTTACTACCAGGAATTTCCTTATTAACTTATAAAGTAGCTTTAAAATTGTGGTTTTGCTCAATGTTTTTTATTATATTACAACATATTGATAAAAAATTAGTGTTTTTTGATCATGACTTTTTTATGTATTGGATCAAAATTTTAAAAATTCAATCCTTTAGTTTTTGACAGTCCTTCTGTTCATCTGGGGGAAAAACAACCATTTCTTGCAAGTTGACATTTTACCCAGAAATCTTATTGTAGTCAAAACTGCAACAGATCAAGTAAAGTGGATGACAGATTCCAATTCAAGTTATATTGGGGAAATTAGCAAGCCAGAAGTTTTTACTTCCGGTTTTGAGAAAACTAAACTTTTATTAAATATTGAGCTTTGAGAGAAAGTAATGAATCAGTGTTGAGTCACCATTTCTTGGGTATACCTACATGTTATAAGTCTACAATTTATTATATTAATTTTAACTACTAATATGCACTACTTATAACTGCATAATTAAATAATAAACTTACAATTTCATCATATAATACTAAAAAGATTATGAGAAAAGATCATCAAATCTTAGAGTGCCGATCCCTACAGTGGTTGGCAATATTAATGGGTATTTTTACTTTTGAACTTGCTGCTCTAAACAAAACAATTGATCTATATTGATACCAATCACATAGATTCTTCAACCAAGAATTCTGCCTTTGGCCAACAGATTTTCTTCCTTGAATCTTAACATTTCATATTTGGGTCCCCTCATCATGTGTCCTAGGTATTCCAGTTTTCTTGGTTGTTTAGTGGTGATTAGTTCTGTTTCTTTACCAAACCTCTCCAGTACTTCTTTATTTGTAACTCAATCAGTCCATGATATTGTAATATTCTGCTGTATAACCAGAGTTCAAAAGCCTCAATTATTTTTAAATTTCGGTTTTTTATGTCCAAGTTAATATAATAATATTGATAATACATAATATCGAATGGTATGCAGTGTGATTTTCAAATTAAGATTTCTGTATGATTTGTATGATGATATGATGATTCTGTATTAGTATGATCGTTCTCAGTACTGATATTTTTCTACTTGTTCTATCAGGTTGCCATTTATTGTCAATATGTGGTGTATATTTGGTGATCTTTTTGTAATTAGCATATATTTCATTTTTTTTTAGGGTGTGTAGTAATTTCCATCTCAGCACTATTCATACTTATGCTAATTATCACATTGGAAGCTATATTCATTACTTGGAATTATTCTTGGAAAACATGTCCTCTATTCACAACAAAATCCAATGCAGATAGGGTTTTAAATACTGTTTTAATAGATAAGGACAATTAATATACAATAAACAGTATATAATAAATGTTTGAATTTGGAATTTTCATTTGTTCCCTTTGCTGTAATTATTTAGATCAACCTACCCAAGAATGTTTTACAAGTAGTCTTTCTTTTTGTTAAGAAAATATTCTAATTTTTGTCTCAGTTCATTTTAGTAAATATCTATGTTATATTTAAAGTTGATTTTATGCTGTTAGAAATGGGATGTCTTTCAGGATTTATTCCAGTTTAAAATGCAACCAAAAGTGCAAGATATATAAAGTTCAAAATAATAATAATAGTCTCCCGTTTTATACCGCACGCGGCTTTGGGAGTATAGCAGGGTAGTCTGCTATATCTAGGGCCTACGGTATACAAGGAAGGTAACATGGCCAGTGCTACGCTTCAACCGCCTATTATTACCCCTGGTTTTACCCAAGGTACTCATTTTATTCAGGCTGAGTCGACCTGGGGCCTATAGACATTTTAAAAATGCCTAGTTGTTCTTGCCGGCGGTAGGATTCGAACTCACGACCACCGGCATGCGAGGCAAGCACACTACCGCTTGCGCTACGCAGGCCCTAAAGTTCAAAATAATTGTTCTTAATGCATTTGAAGCACTCACACCATTTTACTGAAAAAAGGGTATCAATTATATGATTGAAATATGTTCAAATATGACTGGGGTTATCAAGACTATTAACTACTGGGAAGGAACCAAAACCATCCCTAGGAAGGGTTAGACAATCTAATACATTCAAATATTCTAAATACAAGAAAATTACATTCCTTAAATTTTAATAATGAAATTCTGACTGCAGAAAAAATTTTGGGTAAACAAGATATTTGTGTAATAAAAATGTGTAAAATATTTGTGCAGGGGGTTTATTGGTTAAATAATTTATGAACTAAAAATAAATTGAGGCATTAGAACATTGAACTTTTCGTTATCATAAAAATTTTTGTGAACAATCGTAACAATACTTTAGTTGTTCTGTGTTTTATGTCTTTGAGAAGACAATTTGTGTGTGTTTGTTTGACAATACTGCTAACATATCTTACTGGGAAGCTGTTGTGGGAACAGTTACAGGAAGCAGATGGAAATTCCAGAGGTTCCAAAAATATTCTTCAAGAATGATAGATGGAATTCATCATCACCAATGGATAAGACATAGAAAAATTTTAATGTCAGATGAGGTAATAGTGAAAAATCAATAAAAATTCAAGAATAACTGTAGAGAAAGTTTCTCAAAATATTGATATAAAATTAAAAGTTTCTAAAAATACTGATACAAAAATGGAAACATTTTCTATCGGAATCTATGAAATATATTATAGATAATTAAAAGTTTCTAAAAATACTGATACAAAAATGGAAACATTTTCTATCAGAATCTATGAAATATATAGAAACAGTATCACCAACTGAGACAGAAAGTTTATGAGGCATTTATCTTAGGTAATTTGAACCTAATGCCATGGTCAAATATTGAACAGAAGAAAAAAGACTATTTCCTTGATGTCTGGTTTATTAGATGCTACTAATACAATCAATTCCTAAGGAAAAAAATGTTATAAGACCTTTTTTTAAGTGTCTGGAAAAATGCTATGGAGCTTCCCATCTATAACAAGTATTTACTCCGTGCGTGACTGACGCGACACCTACCGCCTTCATCTGACAATTTTGGAGTCCCAATTTTCAGGTTAAACATATGACATATGTTTGACATTGATAAATACATGCGAAATTGACAACTATTAATAAATTAGTTTTATAACTATATTTTTTCAGTTTATGTTCAAAATAAATGTAGTATTAAAAACTTAGTTTCTCAAACTTCATCATAATATATCTTTTCAACTCCAAACGGAAAAGAAAGGGAAAAATCTAGTACTGGCAAATCAAGTTTTTCACGCAAAAGAGCATATAATTAAAAACAATAATGGTAAAAGTTATGATATAAAATCTAAAGTCATCTGCAGTTAGCTTGAAGCCTTATCAGATATCATTCAAGGTAAATTATTTAAATTTTTCCTATTCCAATTGCATAAAAATGAAATTATGTGATATTTACTTTTTCATATTAATAGCACGAATTCATCTTTTTCTTTTCTCTAATTTATATGTAATCATTGGGAACCTATAAAAACTACACTCACTGTTTTTGCTATTATTAGCACAATTAAATACGCAACATGTATTTGCATACATTTTTGATAAAATTTATGCGTAAAAATATTTTGTCCAATATTCCAATTTTGTCATATTTCGCCGCTACGCACGCTGGCATCGTTTCAATGCACCCCTGCCATGGTCACGCACGGAGCGAATACAACAACAACTGGGAATTATAATCAAGAAATTGGAGGAATTTAAATTAGACATTGCTGGTATGGTGCAGTTAGCTTATCCAGAAACTTTCGATAACATTTTGGAAGAAATAGTGGTAGATACGCATGTTAATGGTAATTGGCTACAGCTAATCAAATCGCTCTTGCAAGGGACCTGGAGAGAGGAAAAGCCTGGTGAGGGACTAATATTAAGATACTAGAGTGTCAAAAGATATTGTGGAAACTGGAGAGGAATCACACCTTTGAATACCATAAATAAATTAACAACAATAATTATAAACAATTGATTGACAAACATTGTAGAACCAATATTAAAGAAGGAATAAGTCAGCTTCACACGAAACCGATCATACACAGACCAAATTAACACAGAGTAATTGTTGAACAGTCAAAGGAATTCAACTCTCATCTCTTTATATGCGTTTTGGACTTAAAAAACTCTACAGTGATAAAGAAAGCATAATATCTGACCCAATAGCTGTGCTAAACATGAGTAAAACCATTGTTAAATCAAATCATTATCATTGTCATCATCTGTATTTCCACAATATTGGAAAAATAGTTTTCTTACACCTATCTATAAATTTGGCAATCGTGAGTGTGTTAACAATTATAGAGGTATAACTATTCAATCAGCAATCCCGAAACTTCTTGATAAATTGGTATGGATAAATCTCGCCTGGGCTTGCAGAAACATATTTATTGA